AGATGAGACGAGGCACGAGACGAGATGAGACGAGGCACGAGACGAGATGAGACGAGGCATGAGACAAGATGAGACGAGGCACGAGACAAGATGAGACGAGGTACGAGACGAGATGAGACGTGACATGAGGATGATGATCATATTTAATATTATTATTAAAATCAATATTCACTAATATTTATTATAATTAGTTAAGAATTAATATTATTAAAAATTAATAATATTATTATTACTAGTAAATTTTATTTGTGTATTCTATTCAATTTCATATTTCTAAGCTCAATTATGAGGCCAAGGCCATGAAACTGAAATTTATTCCATCCAATTCTGCCTTTAAGTTAAGTTATAGCATTCATATCTAGCAGTTGCACCCATTTCCCCCACCCACCTGCAGTCATTCAAAGACTCAAAGTCTCAACCAAAATGTTTTATTCTAGTTAGAATAGATAGCCTACAACATGAGCTTTCCAATGGTACTAAAAACTCTGAAATTGGCTCATAGGAAACCTACAAATGATAGTTTTTCCAAAATAAGTGACAGAAGTTGGTCCATTTTTGGGGTGAAATTGAAAATAGGAAAAAATTCATATCTTTTTCATTTTTCGACTTACTTCACTCATACTTATATGATATTTTTCTAATTTTTTTTCTCTTTTCAGTGGTGTAATTTTCATTACGATCAAAGGAAAAAATTATTTTTGTGCACATACCTACAAAGAGTAGATTTTTTCCATACTAGCAGGCTAGTTCTGCTTCAATTTATGGTCTAAATTTTGTACTTTAGTCTTTACTATCTATGTGGCATGTCATTGCATGTAGGTAACAGGTTGGATTGTAATTTTCCTCCTTGGAATTGTGCTATACAGTATACATAGGTACTCCAATTAGTCCAATAACTCCTGTCAAGACTTTTAGATTGGTCAATCACAATTTAGGTACACTGCATAAGAAACTTTTAGTAGCATAAAAAGGGTCAAAAAAGATTCAAACATTGAATTATTTGTGATAGGTATTCACTAAAATTACAAATCTATAATCCAAAAACATTCAGTTTTACATGTCAACATCCTAAAAACAGAAACAGTGTGCTGGACTGCTGGCCATGGCATACATGGTAATTGTTAATAGGTTAAAAGCCTATAAAAGGTAGCGAGTATTTTATAGGTAGTATATAATATAGAGCTTCGCAGAGTGAATATCACAGAATTGAATCAATTTACTCACAGAAATGAACAATTTACTCGCGGTGAATGTGGAAGGCAGAAAGTATCTTCCAAGTTGCAATGAACAGTTTCATCCTGCGCGCTCTTGGCAGTTGCTGCGAATACATATGATGATCGTAAAATAGTTACTGAAACAAGAAAGGTATAAAACAGCATCATTAATCTTGTATGTGTTAATCATACGGTACGCCGATTTCACATATCGGCTTAAACAGCTGAAATTTCACGTTGGGCAACATCAGCTGCGTGTGTTTACGACTTGGTTGAAATCCGAACACCAATGACAACAATGAGACGAGCCGATCTGCCGAACCATCTGCCGATGTGATAACTTCGTGTCAAATGTCACAAAAAATTTTCATTCTCAAGTAATTGATTATTATTTTGGTTAAAGTTTGGCACTGTATCTCAAATCTAATAAGCTGCTAATTCAAGCAATATATCGAGCAGAAAATTTGTTTAGGTTATAAATTATTGATAATTTAACCTCAATACAATTAAATTAATAATCAATTAAATCATTATGAATATTGAAAATTTTGTATTGCTTCCAATATTTTTCATTTTATTCAGAGCCTTCAATTTTAATGTCTTCAGATTCAGGTGATTCTAAAATATTTGGCTTTTCACATTTTACGTGCGCGAGGTCTCTACGGCCGGCTGTGCGCACACCGTCAGTTCTATCCATCGCAGACAGGACGTGTCGTTCAGCTAATTGGTGAGTGCTGTTCTTCAAATTTATCAAACTTGTATCTGGAATTATAATTAAAAAGTATGACAATTTATTGCGTAGGTCATCGTTCTAATTATTTCAGCGTAGTTTTATTTATTGATGTTTTAAATCTTATAAATTTGTGATTGTGGAATAGCCTATGTGCCGGCTTTCATCGGCGCCATGACAGATAGTTGAAGATGGCTGAATTCTTTGCAGGTCTGCCACCACCGCACTCACTGCCAACATGTACGCTGCTCGCCTTGTTCTTCCTATTAGCCGCAACGCTGCTGTAAGTTGTAACAATTCAACTTTTTGTTTTAAATGTTTTCTATTTTAGTTTAACCGGTCGCTTTTTCCTTGTAACTTAGCGGCCCAGGCAGACACTGAGACAGCCGCTAGGCTGGTTACCGTTACCGTAAATTACGCCCTCTAGCTTTTTGCCTGTTAGTCCCAGCACGAGCTGATATACAATTGTCCTTCATCTGTCACCCTAGTTCTACGCTGTGTGCCGTGTGTGTTAGAAAAAAAAGTTTCATAATTGATAAAACGAAGACGGCAGCTAAACCACATTTTCAGGTTTGTGACAAATTTTAATTAGATTGATCATCCCACTTTTTGATTTGGCATATGATATGACAACTTGACAAGTCAGAAATTTGTGGTTAGGAAATGATATGTTGTATTCATTTTTTCCTCAAACTAAATAAAAAAAGGCTCAAAGACCCCATTTAGTGTCAAATAGTTGGCAACAGCTGTGAATTGATCCTTTTTAAGTTTGAAGGTCATGTATATATACTTTGATTAGCTTGTGCAGTGCTTGAGTATCAGTTTTTTTCAATTTCAATAGGATTTGGCAGTTTTTATTGTAAAATTAGCAACTATTCCTATCTAGTGCATCTTTATAATTTTTCATTGTGGGATTTGGGCCTTTTTGGGGTGTGGTGTCTCTGAAATACCTAGGACATTCCAGAGTCAGGCTATCAGCCATGCATCACATATTCGTTTTGTTAGTAGGGAGGAGAAAGGGAGACAAAGCCAGGTAGAAGTGACATTAAAATGGGCTTGAAGGATGTGAAAGTTTATGTTAAGGGTGAGATGAAAAAAAGGGGAGGAGAAATTCATGAAGAAAATTTATTTTGTTTATTGTATCAAATTAAGCTAGCAATACTTCCTTATTTTATATTTAGGACTTCCTAGTCAATGGTCATGCTGATGCATAGGGGGCAAATATCATAGATATCAGCATTATTGTGCACAAGATTGCAGCATTCTGCACCACCCTCTGCACCAATGTCTTGTCAAGACATTGGTTAAATCTTGTAGATGAGGAAACTGATAATAAACTGATTCAAGAATATATTTGGTTTGCCTCTATGTGCTGGCGTGCTGCCTTCAAATAAAAATTATATACATGATCTTCCATTAATTTATTAGATCTTTCATATGAAAATGACTGCAATTTTTTAATTTATATACTTTCTTGCTGGGTACAAGATTCCTTCAAGTTTCACCTACATTACTATTCAGCATAAGGTTTGTAAGTTTGTGAAGTGACCCAAGATTGAGAAGTTAGGTCTAAAACTTTAAAACTTACATTATTATTTTTGAATTTTGCTGATATTTTTACATCTGGCAAGCTACCTAGCTTGATGTTGATTATATATTAGTCTATACCAATTTAATATTTACAGTGGAGGAACAAATGTTTTCTATCAATTTCATACATACCATAATTTTGTGTTGCTCTGATTTGCCCCCTCTTGTACAGTTTCTTGAAACTTTGATAATAATACTTGTGGTAAAATGCATTAAAGTTTGATAAAAAAAATTTATAATGGAATTTAAAGTTTAATAGATTGCTTGCTTGGATGCTGTAGTTGGTAAACTTACCTTGGGTTTTGTTTATTATAAATGACAACACACATTTTTTCAACATTCAATTCATGTTTATTTTCATGTCTTCAATGATAGGATCTTCCAAAACCATGTTCATCTATTAATTTTGATGGTGCCAATAGTAGTTATCTTCATTAAAAATTAGCTTCTCTTGGCAGGTTGGTAAAACATCGGCATGGAAAAGCAGAAACAAGGCTCTGGTGACCAGTTGGGCTTGTAAAATAAGGTTGTTTCAGACAATATATTGCCTTTTTTTTTTTTGCTGTTAGTTGATCGATTCTCTTTGCAGTTGTGCAGCCAGGCCGTTGTGAGGCCTGTGTCTGTGGCCCCAGTGGTGGTACGCAGCCTACAGACCTCCGCTGTGTCCCGGGATATCGACTCCGCTGCCAAGTTCATTGGTGCTGGAGCTGCCACGGTCGGTGCTGCTGGCTCTGGTGCCGGTATTGGCTCCGTCTTCGGCTCCCTCATTATTGGTTATGCCAGGAACCCCTCTCTCAAACAACAGCTTTTCTCTTACGCCATTCTTGGCTTTGCTCTGTCTGAGGCTATGGGTCTTTTCTGTCTTATGATGGCTTTCTTGCTGCTCTTCGCTTTTTAGGCTGTTAATTGTGGGATCCCACCAAGCCATTGCACTGGGACAAACATGCCATAACATCCAATCTTGGAAAAAATGTATGTTCGAATTTTGAGATTTATGAAAGAGCAATTATACTCGTTTCCATGGAAGAATTCTTCTGATGCTCCTCAGGGCTGAGACGGAAAAAAAAACGTCCATTTAATTGGAGTGAGCAATCGTGGAAGGTTCTTCTCGTGCAAGCGTACAGCCGGTTATTGTAAATATAAATTCAGTTCAATATAGTTGATACTTCCATCATACGTCAATGTCAACACCTCTCATCCTCGGTTTTTGCGCTGAATTCAGTGTATAGGTGGATAATTTATAATAAAATCGATTTTTTCCCTTCCTACGTTTCTATTGTCATGAGGTATAAGAAGTTTCAATACGCTACAACACCTCGTTGAGTGGACTTGACCTATGACCGGCAGACGCGATTAATTCGCGGCCAAGAACACAAAATGGACGATGTTGGAGGCGGTTAGCCAAGGAAAGTTGAAACTCGAAGATCGAGGAGCGTATAGGGTTGTGCCATCACACATTCTGAAGATCTCGTAATAGCCCCATATGTTGAACGTTTCCAATAACAAAGTAGTTCGAATTAAACCAGTAGTTGCATTTATGATATATTTTACGAAAGTCGTGCCGAAGCACAAATGTGTAAACCGTAATCAGGCATATAAGAATCTCTTCTAGTTCTTGATCGAACAGGAAAATGATTTAGTTCAAACCAACTCCAACGCTAACGGCTAATCCAGGTGTTACGAGAGGCGTGAAATGCATGATGAACAAGGTTGATTCAAACAACAAAATGTAATTACTTGCATTGCATTTCCCCCTGTGAAGCAAGACAGTTAACTGCTGCAAACGAATAGTCATAATTAGTGCCAATGAATACACCTCCATCATGTTAAGCGAAAGTGATAGACAGCAAACTTGATGGTGTGTATTGAACAGTCAAATGATTATTTAAAATATGAACCTGTGTAGGGTCCTCGCTAGATACTAGAAAATATGAAAAGGTAAAGAAATGTACCCTAAAGGACAAAACGTTTAGAATCAACCAAGGCAACATAGTGACGGATTTTTGTTTTCATTGATAGTTCAGTTTTCAAACGAGATTGATGTATTTCATCATCGAGATTATTCCCGAGACGTTGCAGACAAATACGGGTGTATGGTCTCAGGCGTGTGGCCGAAGCACAATTACTGCATGAGCAAGTGAACCACTGCTTTGGCGTCGAGGTTCCTGAGGTCGGCGTACGTCTGGCCAGTGCCCACAAACACGATCGGCTGTCCAGTGATGTACGTCATCGAAATCGCTGCGCCCACCTGCGAAATGAGCAAATATTTTACATGGATCAGTGGGACGATTTAATGTTGTATAAGGCTTGGTTCACACCATACTTCCGGGCACGGTCCAGTCCAATATTCTTTTAATGCATTTCTATGGAGCGTTCACAACAGCCGCTCATGGCACCTGTCATGCCAGGCACGGTCCAGCCACAATCTTGGTAACAGATATTTTGACCGGGACTTGGATGCAGCGTTGCATGCATTTTTTTGCCCAGTATACTAGATTGCCAGCTAAACATACTGGATTTATAAAAAGTGATATGAAAATTTACCATTTGGCAACGCTGCGTGACTGGCATGGCACGTGATACGAAAGGAACTGAAGTAAGGACGGCCTGTGACCGGTTTAAATTCGTCAGCATTACTACAAATCCTTGCGTATTCCAATGAAAGTTGTGAAGCAAAACTTATACGACCCATCACTAGTTGGAATAGATCATGCTTATTTTGGTGTTGCTTAGTTAACTAAGTAACGAGATAAAAATGAATTTAAATAGTAGCCAATTGTCGATTAGATAGAAGTTCTGTAAAATATATTCTAACACAAGAAGCATGAATCGTTTGATTGTTCTTGAACATAATCATATATAGAGAGGCTTATTGAAACTACCAGAGTTAGAAGTATTATGGGTCAGTACGGGCAGAAGTCTGACCTTATCGTCGATAGTATCGAACTTTGTGAGGAGGATGCCATCTATCATGTGGGTGTTGGCGTTGGTTGCATTCGAGTGATTGGCGAGGGCCTTGTTGAACTTGACGAGCTGGTCGACGGCTTCATTGCCAACAAGCGCCTCGCCCACGAACAGCGTCAGGTCGGGCTCGTTCACAAGGATTAGCTGTACAAAAAAATGAAGCTGAGGTTTATTTGGTGATCATAAAACTCGAATCTATTCATCGTAATCTGACGACCACGTTCGATAAAAACTTCATGATTGTTTTTATATTTTATGAACTTTTATATCTTAAATGTGATGTGTATGATAAATGATAACGTATCTCTTAACATTGATTATAATTTGGAATTAAATAACGTGATGCTATACCAATTCCTTCAATTTTTCACTCGTTTTAATACATTTTTTTTAAATAGATGAGGCACTGAATAAACATCCCAAAGAATATGTATATATGTCCAGGAAAAGCTTGTAAATAATTCATTCATACTAAGGAGACTACATTAACAACTAAATGTAACAGAAAGGTTTACATTTACACCTATTATGTTTGCGACTCTATCTGCTATACATAGTTAAATTTTAAGACATTCAAGGGGATTCGTTAGTTCAACAATACTTGCTGCTGTAAAATCAAATTTGAAGATACCCAGCGCAATTTGTCAGTTACTAAATTATTACTCTCTGAATTATCCCATTTAAAGAAGTTTCCGCGCGACTCAATAGTTTAACAATCATGAAGCAAACGGTTGGAAGTGTCAGAGGTCAAAACCTAATGTAGTTAGCGGGTAGCTAGCGGTAGTATGTTGCAGAGACCTTAGCCAGGGCGCGCATTAGCGGCTCGTTGTCCTGCATGCGACCGGCCGTGTCGATGAGCACCACGTCGAACGTGTGCTTGCGTGCGTGGTCGATTGCCATGCGCGCGATGTCTGCAGCGTCTTTCCCGTAACCCTGTGGTCACAATACAGACATCGCATGCCATTAACAACATGTTTACATTCATCGCATCCTTGATAGTAGCTGAGGCTCGTCTTAGCTCAATGAAATAATGAATTAGCTAAATGAATTTTTTAATTGCCGATTAAAGGGATTACTATCAATAAGGTATTACAAATTTCATTGATTCGGTTACAAATGACAATAAATAGACATTCATCTGAACTGTAAGGAAACAGAAATGTAGAAGTTACTAGTTCTGTCAGAAATATTGTGTGAACAATGCTAAGAAAACTTGAGAAATTGGGACGAGACGAATGAACATCAACCAATATCACAGATTTTAGGGATACCATTGGCCGTCAATATTAGATCCGTGTTAATTATAAATACTCGAGCACAGATATCAACTCACTACCAGGTTAGCCTGAGGTAGCTTGGGATAGATTAACCCTAACATTCGAGATTCTCATAATTATAAATCCATTCAATTTTTTGGAAACTTAAGAACGTTTAATAAACAAAGACGCATTTCAACATTTAGCACAGAACTTCCATGTGGCTTCTGCTCGGGAAATACAGAGTAAAAAAGTCTATTTACATTTTTAAATCCAACCCTTCCCATTTATCTAGGTCCAAGGCTTCCGACATTGAAAATACAATTTTATTAACGGGTTATATCCTGGCAAAGAAGGGGTTATATATGTTACTCGTTCCTGAACGGGTTATATCCTGAGGCTGAAGTATCATAGACATAGATACAAGCTAGAAGCGCCCCAATATATTTTGAGCTACAGGATTCAAATGCAGGAATAAATCTTTCACACCTATAAAAGATTGATACGTAAATTTGCCCGTAATTGCAGGAATTAATGCCCATTGTGTTCCTATAGTGTTGTCTTAGTAGACTGGCTGCTATTCTTATCATTTAGTGTAAATTAAGGCACCTGCTCGTAGAGGTGCACCATTGTCTTGCCGCCATGCTTCTCAGGAGGGTGCAGGGCGTTGAGGTGGTGCACGTGGGTGCGCAGCTGCTCGACGGCACCAGCACGGAACGTGTCGCACGCCGCGATCAGCACGCGGAAGTTGTTCTCGATAAGCCAAAAGCTCACCTGGAAGTTCAATTCCTTTAACAATAATATCATTTTATCTAAAAAAAATCAAATTTATCGAGTGGTTTAGAGGCAAGGAAACTTCATACTTACAAAATTAACAATAGGGCTAAGCTGCATGTCGTTCGTCATTAGAGGAGAAAACCAAATTTCTGGAAAATTTTGATCGTATAGAATAAATGTAGACATAAATTTTAATTAACATTTATAATAGCCACCAATGGAAATAATAAAATCAAAGAAAGGACAAAAAGGCAAGGAAATATTTCGGACAGATGCATCATCCTAGCAACATGGTGCACTTTTTTGCGATTTTAAACAAATATAAAATGCCGATTCCTTGTTAAAGATGCAAATTCCGTGTTCACCCTTCAAAATTTTTTGCGTTGCAATGCTGCTCGCTTTCACCATTCATGACAGAACATAAAGACATTCACTATTTTTACAGGAACACCATACATTCGTTATTAATAACAGAACAGAAGGGCGTTCACCATGCCAATCAATATAACTGTATCATTTGATAAATTAAGGCTGACCTTGGCGAGATTGGTAGACTTTCCGACGCCGTTGACGCCGCAGAAAGTAATGGCGTAGGGCTTACGGTTGTGCTGCGCCTCCCTGACGTCCCTAAGGATGTCGAGGCGACGCTTGGGCGTGAGCAGCAACATGAGCGACTCGGTGAGCGTCGCACGCACCACTGACGTCACGCCTTCAAAGCTCCCCACGTGCTGAAGCACATTAATACTGTTATCAAGATTATATTATATAAAGACCATTATCAAGACACATGCACTATTTAAAATGCTATGGAGATATGTGGTTTCATACATTAGAGCTCTTGATATAATTCAAGAAAAAAGTACTCGTTTAGAAAGCGGTCATTGAATAAACTAATTTCATGAGTTCTTCATGATATCAAAAAGCTCATGATTAAGTTCTTCATGATATAAATTACACATTGATTTCTGCATGTCATCATATCTATTTTACTGTCGCCAATTCAAGATGATGCTTTCCATGCAAGCATCGGAGACTTACCTTGCCAATGAGCTTGGTCTCAACGCTCGAGCAGAGCTTGGAGGCGATCTCAGCAGCAACGTTCTTGGCGATGAGCAAGTCGCGGAACTTCTCCAGCACCGGCGCCACGTCGCTCGCGTCCAGCGTCTTGCCGCTCACCAGGGATTGGAACAGCGAGAACAGGCCTGAACACGAGGAAATCTCGTTGAAATTACTTGGTAAAATATTATAAAGACTGCATCATCAGTTGAATAACTTTAGTCGTGATGGCGTCTGATACCATACACATCGTGTACCGACCTACATAGACATAGCTAGCAACATTATCATTGAGTTATCAAGCAACTAAATTCATACAGTGCAAGGCAATGTTAGCTGCACATTTTTGTTGCGCAGCTAGCAAGGGCTTCATTATTTTACGATCCCAACAATAGCCACAATCAATAACTAAGCTAGGTATCTTCAAATATGAAATATCATGCATGCAGGCATGTACAAACATGTACGCACCTCAAGCACTTGACTTCACATTAACTAACTTTCCGCATACCTCATAACACAGCATTATTAATATTAAAGTAACAAGAATCTTAGATAAATATGTCCATTCTTTTCATGGACAATGACCGTTCATATCGGTTTGTAAGATACCTCAAGTCCTCAACCATAATTGAGATAGTAAATATGAAACCGATTTTATCAATTGTCAAATGCTCCCAAATTCAGCGCTCTTTTAGTCTACACCAGTGGTTCCCAGACTTTTTCGGGCCGGTGCCCTCTTGGCTCCCCAGTGAATATCTACCCCCCCCCTCCCCGCTGACAGACACATATAAAAACAAACGCCTCTTTCTTCATATTGAGAAAGCTGCAATTTTGAAAGAGAAAGGTTAAACACATATCTTTCCAGAGGCCCCAAAATGATCATTCCACCGCCCCCAGGGAGGCGATATCGCCCACTTTGGGAACCACTGGTCTACACCGTCCTCTTATAGGTGAATTGCTCTCACCTGTTAGTTACAGTGATTGTGCTCACCTGTTAGTTGCAGTGATTGTGCTCACCTGTTAGTTACAGAGATTGTGCTCACCTGTTAGTTTGTGCGCAACCTACGGAGTGAAAGCTAGTTTTACAAAGCAACAGTGATTTTAAGGCATCCATTTTATCTGGCACGGTATGTGCGTGTTTTACCCAATAGCCAAGTAAACACCCAAATTTTAGCCTGTGAGTGAAAGGCTGATTTCCTTGTCCGCATCAGGGTGTGTGGTCAGTTGTCGCGTACCAATGGTGTTTTAAATCAATTATTTTACTTGCACATGACGACAAACCCCATTGAGTGTATTGACTTACCTTGAACACTTTAGTGGTTATGTCTTAGGGAGGCGTACTGTTGATTGTGTTATACGTTTTGGACCGCTCAAATAGCTGAATAATTGAATCTAGGATTAGCCAATTTGTGGTTGAACTGTGCGTCATTAGCCAAAACTATTTCATATATTTTTGTATCATCCTAACCTTACTAACCCCATCGCATCCTGTGCTGCAGTGCATATCAGCATCTGTGTTATCAGCGGTGCTAGCATCTCCTAATATATCTTCCTTGGCAGCGCCGGGTGGTTTTAGTAACCTACCCTGCCCGTAGTATCCAGGGCCATACTGTGAACCTCTTTAATATCAATATTAAACGTACCGGGACCGTCGCCCCCTTACACAGTGATTGTGCTCACCTGTTAGTTGTAGTGATTGTGCTCACCTGTTAGTTGCAGTGATTGTGCTCACCTGTTAGTTGCAGTGATTGTGCTCACCTGTTGGTTGCAGTGATTGCGCTCACCTGTTAGTTGCAGTGATTGTGCTCACCTGTTTTCTTCGTCTCCGCTGGGACGTCCATATTCCGGAGACTGCCCGCCAGCGTGCCGATCTGCACACCATAAAAGATACTAACACGGTTCCTACCTACACGGTTGCACACAAGTGCCAATTTTACAATTTCTTTTCAATCTAGGCCTTTTATCTCTCATAAGTTTAGAAAAAGTTTAGAAAAAATTCAGTTTTTTATCCCTCATAAGTTTAGAAAAAAAACATGAAACAACTGTCATTAAATATATAAAAATTGCAGTAAGCTACAGCCTACTTTGATCTGTTGCTAAACATTTTCAGTGGCTAAAACAACCTGCGCACACTACAACGTGGCAAAAGCAGGTATTATTTTCAATTATTACTTCATTCATAACTTTCTATTTAGCAGTTTATAGACGCCACGATGGTCTTTGAATATTAAACTCTTCAGTACAAAATTTATTTCTGTATTGTTAACAATTTGTTATAGCTGTAGGTACCTAAAGAATTCACACCTATTGCAAACCTTACCAGTGGCATTAAAGGATGGACTCATTTGCATTGGTTTAGTAATAAATATCAAAAGTTTAATGTATGAACATATTAAACGTTTAGTAAGAGCAGCAGACCTGCCCAGAGTCCGGGAGGTAGTCAGGACGGGGGCCTGAGAGGCTGCTAGGGGCGCTGTTGTCCCCGCCCTTGCGGGAGTAGTCCAGCGAGGAGCTGTCCGTGTTGGCGAGATCCCACACTCGCGCCTCTTTACCCTTCATTCACACAACAATTAATGTGCAATTAAAGCAAGAAAAATCAGCCATACATATAGAGAAAATAAAATAAATCTCCCATACACATTGAGAAAATGATCAACTTATCAACAAATCAAAGCAACCTAACCATTTTGGCCTCGAAGGAGCACTGGGAAGGACAAAGAAGCAAAGGAGATGAAATGAAAAATAAAATTTGCTACCACGATAAATTATATAAGTTTTTTCATGGCAAAATATATGAAAACCTCTAAAAAAAAAAATTAGTCAACTAATACAGAAACCCTGAAGTTCAACTAATATGGTTTTATTGATTATTATATATAAAATTGACTAAACACACATAGAACTAAATGCTCGTTTAAAAAATTATAAATTGGCTAAGTAAATGATTGAAATTATTCACCTTCTTGGGTTGCTTGTTTTGCTTGTTGGCCTTTTTCTTCATGACAAGCTTGCCCTGGAAGAGCATCTGCCGGTTACGCAGGATGGCATCTGAGCCCAATTCCATGACACCAGCATTGCCGTTGCCAACAACAGCTTGTCCATTGCTCTCTGCCTCCTCTGCAGCCTGGCCATCTGAACTACTTCCATTCTGCAAATTGCATTTAAATTTAAATGATGTAAAAAAAAATAAAAATAATAAAAGCATATCTTCTTTTAAAGGCATTTACGCAAATGGTTAAGCTAGCTAGTTTTGTCGGTGGTAACATATAAATAATAGAGATATATATACTCTCATGTAACTCAGTGATCATTGCCCAAATTAAACATTGGAGAAAATTTTACATTGACACTTTGACTCCGATTGCTTAATCTTGTACTTTATTTCATTTTTACAACACTTGTCTTTAACTTCACTTCTTGTTTGTCTGTTTGTCTGTCTGCTACAAATCTTATAAAAATTTAACACACTTCTACTTATTCTTTCGATCTGAAATTTTGCGCACTTGCATAAAGTTGGAGACAATGCATGAACCAAATGACAAAATAAGTTATTTAAAAAAAATTTAATATTAACAAATTTTAAAAAATAATTTTGTCAGCTACAAATCTTACAACTGATGTTTGACACACTTTTACCTGTCCAATTGATTTGAAATTTTGCACACTTGTGTGAAGTCGGAGGCAACGCTTGAATCAATTGTCAGAATAAATAATTTTGAGAAAAAAATTTGTATACAGTATATAAAAAATTGAAAAATTAATTTTTTCAATATTCGAAAATGAAATGAGAAATTCATTATATATCTTTAACATTGGAGACACTGGATTCTTAAGAAGTCTTGTCTTTAAAAAGTAGTAATTTTTAAACGTATATTTTTTGTACTTCTTTCAAACAGGGTTGCCAGACGGTCATTTTTCTCGGACAAATTCCGTGATTTAGTTTTTCTCAATTGCGTGGCCGGCTAAAATTTATGTTAGGGGTACTTCCTAATTAAATTTTAAATACTGCAAAAAGAAAATAAATGGAATTTTTATAGCAGAACCTACAAATAAACTAGTATATATTGAGTTATCGGCCTTTTTTGGCCTTTTTAGCGCATTTTCTCATTTATGGAAAAAATGCACTATTGTGCTCGCCATGTCCGTCTGTCTGTCTGTCCGTCCGTGACCTTGAGTTTTCGTCGACGAGAAAATGCGCTCTCTGTCACTCACTGCAGTGAGTACTGAGTTATATTTTTTGTTCTTGGATTTGGCGGATTTTAGGCAACCATAATTATGTACCACTACGTCCTGGAGAAATACATTTCATGGTACGCACATGTACCACTTCGGAGTCAAAGTGTTAAGGAAGGCTTTAAAACATGCGTCAATAATGACATCACAGGATCAGTTTGTATTGACATGCCTTCATAGCCTAAAAATATATACATAGATTGCACTCAACACTCAAATGATGGGTTGGTACATAAATTTTAATATAGCCTGTATGCAGATAAGGAGGAAATTAGAATAAAAAGCAGCAATGCCCCACCTCGCCACCACTGTCACGTCGGTCAGAATCCTGAGTGTCTGAGATGGCAGTTAGCTCTGGAGGCTGAGACTGCTGCTCTTCTCCGCTGTCATCTGGCAACTGCTGCGTGTCAATTTTTTCGTCGTCATCATCCTCATCATCATCATTACCCTCATCATCCTCTTCATTATCATTCTGCAGCTGCATTTGAGATCCCTTGCCTGTATGATGAAAAATTGGGTACTACTATACAAAATCATATATAATAATCATCAATCAATAATACAAAAAAGTTTCCATTTTCCATTCAGTAAACAATTAATTACTTGCTCAGTAGTACATAACTGCACCAATTTGAAGACCTGCACTAATTTAATGATCATAAATCATGCTCCCAATCTGCAAGAGAAATGAATATTGTTTCATAACAAGGAATTGATTTGAGTTACTTTTGTAGTGTCAGTGTAAGAGAAAACAGCAAATGATCAAAAATGAAAATCCATGAGTAGTTTCAGAAATAATGTCAATAAAAATGAATCAAGAACAATGGATAGCATTCAAGAAATTGGACTGGTAGGTAGTCATTACAGTATATAAATCTATGGTTATATCCAAACCTAAAGTGTCAGAACATGAGTGAGGTTATCATATGTGACAGATATCCAGACCCAAGTGGAAGAGATTAACAACAGTGACTGGTTGATAGCAGCACTTATTGTAGGAGGAACAGATGTAGTTTGCTCACCGGTGTTTGCAGTATTATTGTTGTTATTGCACTCTTGTTTGATAGCCAGCTTGTCACCCTTGCCTGCACAGCATTACCAAAGCATTACCTTGCCTGCATAGCATTACCAAAGCATTACCTTGCCTGCACAGCATTACCAAAGCATTACCTTGCCTGCACAGCATTACCTGTCTCTTATACACATCTAGATGTGTATAAGAGAGATTGTGCTCACCTGTTAGTTACAGAGATTGTGCTCACCTGTTAGTTGCAGTGATTGTGCTCACCTGTTAGTTACAGTGATTGTGCTCACCTGTTAATTGCAGTGGTTGTGCTCACCTTTTAGTTGCAGTGGTTGTGCTCACCTTTTAGTTGCAGTGATTGTGCTCACCTGTTAGTTGCAGTGATTGTGTTCACCTGTTAGTTGCAGTGGTTGTGCTCACCTTTTAGTTGCAGTGGTTGTGCTCACCTTTTAGTTGCAGTGATTGTGAACTCACTCCTGTGTGATTGGACCACAGGAGTGAGTTCTGGAAGGGTTTTTCACATTTCAGTGTTTCCATTTTATGGAAGACACTTGGTGGGGAGGAATGTAGTGGTGTGGCTTGTGTATCATTATCTATGTCACTGCACCATGCATTCTTTCCACTCACCTGTGTCCTCTCTTTCCAGACTCATGAATGTGGATTATTGGTTAGCTAGGCTTTTCAGACCTAATGCATGTACTTAGCATTACCAAAGCATTACCTTGCCTGCATAGCATTACCTTGCCTGCACAGCATTACCAAAGCATTACTTTGCCTGCACAGCATTACCTAGGGCCACTAACAACGCCACCAGGGAGACAGGAATGGCAATAACAGAGTAATAGAATCTACACACTGAAATACCCAAGGAAGCTAAGCAGGAGAAATATGAGTAAAAGCAAGAAAGTATCACAACACTTGGACCATGTAATGTGATAGATTGCATCCCAGTCCCAATAAATAGAGCATTAGAACCAAAATAATGATCATGTTAAACAAAATACCAAATTTGCAAGGACAGGAGTTAGTTAGGCCAAAATAAATAATATATGTAGAAATAAAAAAAGAGATAAAAGCTTATGTGGCAATAAAAAGATCATTTAAAAAGAAAAACAAGGGATAAATCTTACACAAAAAAAGATAAATCATAATTACCTTTCTTCTTCTTTTTTTTCTTGCTAACATTTTCAGCTGTTGGCTGAAGACTGAAGAGCCGACCCTTGTGCTCCACCATGGAATCAATGGTCTTCTTAGACTTGCTGCTCTCCTGGAATGTCCGTGGCCGCTGCGGAAGGCTCCGCAGCAGCTTACTCTCCGCCTCCACCGCTTGCAGGATCATATTGTACTCAGCAGTGAATTCAAAGCTCTGAGAAAAATAGAACACAAATATAACCACATGTTTATTATGTTTGAATAGCATCAGGTTGAATGAACATAGATCTTTGTTGCATACAAAATCTTGAATGCATCATGGGTTGTCTTGCAGTTTCTTAACAACTCCTTTGAAAATTGCAATATTTCAAATATACAGATGAATCATGTCATAATATATTCATACCTTGAAGTAATTTTTCAGCCTCAGATCATTGAGGTACATTTCTCTGAACTTCCTCTGGATATCTGACAAGAACTTGTCTATGTAGGAGAGCTGTAATATCTTCTGATAGATAACCACATACAGTAGCTCAAACTCATTGTCCATGAAGACTTTGAGAGCATAGTTCTCATGGCCGTAGACACTTGTTGCTCCACTTCGCTCCTGAAAATATTAATTTCTTAAGGACATGATACATAAAACAGGTGAGAAGCAAAATGATATAGGCAGATCATGTAGATTTTCAAACAAAATATGCATTAATTCATTTGCAGATGCTTTTCTGCAATTTGAGAGCCACAATATTCCCATGAAAGGAATTATCTAGCTTACTGTTAACAAAAGCGCATGATGTATGTATCTATATATATAGGTACATATAATAAGCAGTACCCTCAACCGGGGCTACTCGGGACAGATTTGATCATTTTTTTGTTAATAACTGTTAATAACTTCTTACGATTAAACATTTCATAAACAAATTTAGGCTCATTTTATAGCTCTTTGCGAGGGCTATCAAATGGCATTGTCAAAAAATTCCATATGCTATTCATAAGGTGCCAGATGCAAAATAAAGATTGTCCTGAGTAGCCCCGTCAATCGGGGCTACTCGGGACAATGGGAATAAAACTTCATTTCAAAACATTTGAAGCATGCAGAATTGCAGAGCATACTCATCCATTACTAACAGTACTCTGAAGTCCTCCTCTTTCATTGTAGATGATGTAGAGGTAGAATAAATGACATTTTCTGTGATTTTTACTTGTTTTTCCTTTATTGATCTGATATTGCCATATACATTAATTACCGTATTATTGATGTGCAATTATTGTATTATTGATGCGATATTACCGTATCCATGAACATGCCATTGAGCATTTACAACAACCTTGTCCACTGCAAGCTTCATATCACCAGCCTTATAGCATTTTTTTTGTATATGTAAGCTTACAGGATGGCTCGTAATTTCACATCATTTTAATTGGGTTAAGTGAATTTACTATAATAAAAAAGATAGTGAAAAACATACCTGAAACAGAAAGGAATGTTTCAGTGACAACCAACGCATCTTTTGGAGAAATAAATAATAGTTTAGGTCAATTACTTTTCATTCTATGATGCCTGGTGCACAATTCTATACATGACATGCTATGCACAATTTTGTGATGACCGATGATGCACTAATTTTTCGATAAGTGAATTTTTTTTTTGCTGAGCAAAGAAAATGTGATCAATATTCTTTTTTCTAATCAATTTTTTTCATAATTGGAGCCTTTGCTAACTGAGGTTCTACCGTAAATGCGTTTTTGGGGGTGTCCCGAATAGCCCCGGGGGGGTGTCCCGAGTAGCCCCGCTGTGCGGAAATGGCTGTCATTTTTTTTTGGAATGAGATAGGCAAATTCTGTCAATTACGTTTTCTGTCAACTTTTACGTAAGTAAAATTTTTTAATACGGCGAATATTTTTTTTGCTACATACCTTAGCAGTTTCAACTTTACAAAATATAGTTTTTCACCATTTTTTTCCGGAATTTTTCAAAGCAAGTAAATGTAGTATTTTTCGACTTCCTTTATACTACATAGATAGGAAAAATGTTGACGTTTACGCCACTATTTTTAGTTTTGCAATATTCCAATTAGTTTCGCTACTACAACAGTTTTACGCCGTGTTGGAGGCCTGTCCCGAGTAGCCTTGCTTGTCCCAAGTAGCCCCAGTTGACGGTACTATCAAACGGGGTAAAAAGGGACGGTTTTGAGCATTTTTGCTTAATAACTTCTTACCATGAAACATTTCATAAACAAGTTTGGGCTCATTTTAAAGGTCTTTGCTAGGGCTATCGTATGGCATCTCCAAAAAAATTCAAAATGCTATTTGTAAGGTGCTAGATGCAATATAAAAGGCTCCTGAATTAATCTGGAAATGGGGTAATTAGAGACACTTGAGATAAAACTAAATTTTAAAACGTTTGAAGCATGTAGAGTGTACTCATGTATTACTAACAGTGCTCTGAAGTACTCCTCTTTCATTGTAGATGATGTAAATGTAATATAAATTACATTTTCTGTGACTTTTACTTGGTTTCCCTTTATTGATATGATATTACCATATTCATTAATTACCGTATTATTAATGTGATATTACCGTATCCATGGACATGCCATTGAGCATTAACAACAACCTTGTCCACTGCAAGCTTAATATCAGCAGCCATGTAGCATTTCTTCTGTCTCTAAGCTTACAGGATGGCTTGTAATTTTGCACAATTTTAATCAAGTCAAGTGATTTTACTATAACAAAAAAGATTGTAAAAAACATACCTGAAATAGGAAGGAATATTTTAGTGACAACCATCATATTTTTTTGGAGAAATAAATCATAGTTTAGGTTATTATTTTTCATTCTTTGTTGCCCAGTGCTCAATTCTATCTATGACATTCTATGCACAATTTTGCGATGACTGATGCAGTAATTTTTTGAGCGAATTTTTTTTTCACTGAGCAAGGTAAATGTAATCAAATTTCTATGTTGTTAATAGATTTTTTTGTTAACTGGAGCCTTTGCTAACCAAGGCTCTACTGTAAATGCAGTTTTAGGGGTGTCCCTTATTACCCCGTTTTGCAGAAATGGTCGCCATTTTTTCTTGAAATGAGATATGCAAATGCTGTCAGTTACGTTTTTAAGCCAACACCAGTGTGCAACTTTTATATATATAAGTAAGATTTTTCAATACGACAAATTTTTTTAGAGGTAATAAATGTACGATTTCACAACTTGCTTTATGCTGCATAGATAGTAAAAATGTTGAACTTTACACCAATATTTTTAATTTTGCAATATTTTAATTAGTTTAGCTGCTACAACATTTCTACAAAATGTTGGAGGACTGTCCCTTTTTACCCTGCCCATCCCTTTTTACCCCATTTGACAGTAATTTTTAAATTTTGCCATTGATGTTAAATTCTATTTTGGACAAGGTTATCAAATTTACAAATGATTTAGGCTGTTTAGGTTGTCACCAAATCATCATTGAAATTAATGCCTGCAGTACAATCTGAATTAGAAAATTTTAAGGAAACATTCGATTCACTGTCAAATATATAATGCCAATTATTCTAGTCAACAAATCTTGGCATAGTGCAAACAACAGATTTCTTAGAAATTCAGTTCAATTTTAATACCAATAACTATTTTAAAATCTTATTCAATACATATGAGTGATAATACTGGTATACTGCTCTTCTGGAATATCAGGCATTATTTTCTAAAAATAGCAAATAAAAAAATATACCACTTAAAATCAGCAAATACTTAAAGGATTCCTAATACATTCACAGACTTATGTAAAAGTCTCAAACCATAATATTCTTTCTACACAAACAACATAATATTCTTTCTACACAAACAGTTTATCACCATTTGGTAGAGCAAGGTCAACTTTCAACTTTGATATGTTTTTTGATGTTCTCACTGGGTGACATGGACTTTTGCTTTGAGTATCGCAACATTTTCCCGCCAAACCTAGTGTTTTGCGTAAATCTGGCACGCAATAGTATGACATCACTATTTCAACCATCTACACATGCGTGGAACTAAGACAAAGCTTAATATAAAGGAAAAAGTTGAGAAGTATTGGAACTACCCACGATGTTGAAATATGGTGCATTTACCCTATGTATAAGTGACTAGGGAATTTAATCTCTCGTCAACCCAGAGATTGCGCGATATTGGAACCACAGAACTTTCTCATTATCTCATTGTCATGAGTGATCATTGTAGTGGAAGGTGTAATGTGGAAGGCTTTTTGATCCATTTGTTATATAAACATGAGAATATATTACTTATCCAGAATTCCACAATGCAATGGAAATTGGAATGGCCTATTCTTGGCCTCATGGTCTACTTTCTGAAATAACTCTGATGGAGATAAAAATTCTATTAATTTTTTTTCTTTATATTTCATTGATACTTGTATGGTAATTTTTATATATTTTTGTCTTCAAAGTAATATAAAAATTTTATCATAAAATAAAAAATAAAATAAAATAAAAAATAAACATTATGCACATAGGTACCTACAGGGTGGAATTCTAAAATTAGTGGTTCACTTAAAAAAAAAGCATTCTGCCTTAAAAAAACATTCCAGGCAACCAGAAACAGGTTTGTAGGCTGCCAATCAGCCTCAGAAATTGGCATGAACGTTACCTCAGGCAACACAGTGAAAGTCCCAAGATTGTTAATTGTGCACATCACTCACAGATAAGCAAGAGGGATCTACAGAAAAAAATACTATTTACTCTTGCCGTTCAAAGTACGTCTAATTTTACTGTACTTTTGCTGTATTGCATAACATCCAGGCTACCAGGTTCATGGTCTGCCTAACACCCCGGCTACCGGGATGCCTTGGTAAACTGGCGCTCACTGTAGCAGGCGAGACAATCGAGAGTCCTCAGAGGTTAGGTTTAACATAATGATTTCAAATTAAATATAAAAACATTTATTGCACCTATTCTTTACATCAGCTTTCAAATTGAGGATAAACTCATCGGCAATCGGCAAAACTTCTCGAAGAAAAGGCAATGCACAACATGACACTCGACTCAGTTGACAGATTAGAATATAGTACTGTACTAAAAAATTTAGCATTCAAACCTTAAACACTAACCATCATTAGATTCCCGCCACCTTGTCTGTTGCACAGGATCGATTCTTCATGGATAACATTTACAAAGGTTATTGAACCATTCTGTTGAATGTCAAGTTACTGATAAATTTGCAATATAGAAGAATTTGTATCTATAATTTTTTCACATGAGTATATTGATGGTTGGTATCCCTGCTACCTTCTTGGCTTCTTTGTTATTGTCTCTCTTTCGGTTGGTATTCCTGATTGCAACAGGAGTTTCCATATCTCAGCTTATTGCATCAGTGGTCAGTTTTGTATTTGTGGATTGAATCAGCAGCAGTTTTTCATGTATTTGTGAGTGAATGTACATAGTAAAGATGTTATTCTTTGCAATTTCCATCAATAGTGACATAACTACATTCTTGTATTACGCACTTGAAATAAGAAGTGTAGCATTACGCATTGAATTAGCATTAGTGCGTTAACATTGTGTGCATTTGGGACGGTCCTTTCTAGCTTTCTAATGCTGATTGGAGTCCAGT